AGAAAACCCCTTATGAACTTTATTTTGGAAAAACTCCTTTCATTGGCTATTTTCGTGTCTTTGGTTGCAAATGTTTTATTTTAAATACAAAAGATCACCATGATAAATTTGATTCCAAAATTGATGTTGGTATTTTCTTGGGTTATGCACCTCGAAGTAAGGCTTATAGGGTCTTCAATAAACGAAGCCTCGTTGTTGAAGAGTCTATAAACGTTACTTTTGATGAGACTAATGTTGGCTCTCAAGTTGTTTTGCCTAGGAAGGATGATGATGATGATATTGAGGGAGGATTGGACTTGTTGCAAATCAATGACACTCCCTCTATAGAAGCTCAAAAGGATGTAGATTGCACAAATGCTCAAGATCAAGTTGAACAACCTAAAGCTTGGAAATTCACATCAAACCACCCAAAGGAACAAATCATTGGGAGCCCTTCAAAAGGAGTTATAACTCGCTCAAAAGCCTTGAGTGAATGTGGTAATGTTGCATTTCTATCTCAACTAGAACCTAAAAAGGTTAATGATGCTTTAAATGATGAGTTTTGGGTTTTGGCTATGCATGAAGAATTAAACAATTTTCAAAGAAATGAAGTTTGGAAGTTAGTTCCTAGACCAAAAAATGCTAGTGTTATTGGTACAAAATGGGTTTTTAGAAACAAACTTGATGAACATGGCATTGTAACTAGAAATAAAGCACGTTTGGTTGCCCAAGGATACAATCAAGAGGAGGGCATAGACTATGATGAAACCTTTGCACCGGTTGCAAGGTTGGAATCTATTAGGATGTTTTTGGCATTTGCTAGTTTTAAAAATTTCAAACTATTTCAAATGGATGTCAAAAGTGCTTTCTTAAATGGTTTTATAGAAGAGGAAGTGTATGTTGAGCAACCCCCCGGTTTTATAGATCATGCTTTTCCTAATCATGTTTACCGGGTACAAAAAGCCTTATATGGGTTGAAACAAGCTCCTAGGGCTTGGTATGCTCGCCTCTCTAGTTTTCTTATTGAAAATGGTTTTTCAAAAGGAACAATTGATAACACACTTTTTGTGAGAAAAAGGAAAAATGATTTCATTTTAGTTCAAATATATGTGGATGACATTATTTTTGGTGCTACTAATGAATCCTTGTGCAAGGAATTTTCTAAAGTTATGCAGGATCACTTTGAGATGAGTATGATGGGAGAGCTTACATTCTTTCTCGGGCTCCAAGTCAAGCAAACTAAGGATGGGATCTTCATTTCACAAAGCAAGTATGCGAAGGAATTGGTGAAGAAATTTAAGTTGGAGAATTCTAAGCATGCGCCTACTCCCATGAGTACTAGTGTTAAGCTTGATGCGGATGAGAGTGGTGAAGATGTGGACCAAAAACTATACCGAGGTATGATAGGTAGTCTTCTTTATCTCACCGCTAGTAGACCCGACATCATGTTTAGTGTATGTGCATGTGCACGTTTTCAAGCTTCTCCAAAAGCATCTCATTTAATTGCGGTTAAAAGGATCATTAAGTATGTTAATGGAACTTTTAACCTTGGTTTGTTTTATCCAAAAAGCACCACTTTTGATTTATATGGTTTTTGTGATGCCGACTTTGCCGGATGTAAGGTAGATCGCAAGAGTACTAGTGGAACATGCCAATTCTTAGGAAATTCCCTTGTTTCTTGGGCTTCCAAGAAACAAAATTGTGTTGCATTGTCCACTACGGAAGCGGAATACATTGCCGCCGGCTTATGTTGTGCTCAAGTTTTATGGATGAAACAAAGTTTAGTTGACTATGATTTGAATTTTCAAAATATTAAAATCTTTTGTGATAACACAAGTGCCATAAATATTTCCAAAAATTCGGTTTTGCATTCTAGAACTAAGCATATTGACGTACGCCATCATTTCTTACGCGATCATGTAGAGCGACAAGATGTATCCCTAGTATTTGTTGACACCAAATCTCAACTAGCGGATATATTTACTAAGCCTCTTGGAGAGGATGATTTTTGTCGCATAAGAAATGGTTTGGGCTTATGCACTATGTGAAAGTTCTACATTGCTTGCTTGATTAGTTGCATTTTGCATTTGGCATTTCTCTTTACCCCATTTTTGATGGTGACAAAGGGGGAGAGAAATCTCCTCATTTGTTGCATATATTTAGGGGGAGCTCATAGATAGGGGGAGCACCTATCTATAAGCTATTTTATTTTTGCTCTTATATAATGGTTGGTTGTCATCATCAAAAAGGGGGAGATTGTTAGCCCTTATGTTTTGATGATGTTCTTACAACCACCATTATCGGTACTAATGGCTTATTGAGTGTAAATGTAGTAAAATCATTTGTCAAGCTCGTTAGTGCCATTAACGGAGGATGGATGGAATATACGCTAAAACGAAGACATCTAAAGGAGGAGGAGGCCAAAAAGATGAAGCAACGTTATTTCAAGAACAACAAAGTCATATAAAAGCTTCATCCGATTCAAGCTATATCAAAGCTCAAGTATATTGCTCTCTATATGAGGATATTAGCTTTCTTTTGTTTTTTCTCTCTAGTGCTAGAATGTAGGCAAAGAGTTACTGAGTTTACTTGAAGCTATTGGGAATCACACACACGTTTTTAAACTTGTGCTTTTAAGCGTTTTTCACAAAATACTATTTTTCACAAGTATGAGTACCTATCTGCAAAATTCTTTTTCCAAACAGTTTGTTTTTAGTATTAAAAACATTTTACAAAGTTTCAGAATTTTCAGAGGTCAAATGAATATTTTGGAAATATTTCAACTTGGTCAAATAACCTGATTTCAGAATATGTCAGAAATCGGTCGACCGCGAATTTTCAATCTTCTAATCGGTCGACCGTGCCGGTCGACCGACGAGGCTCTGCTTGTTTTTCCAAATTTCTTTAGCTGCCCGCGGTCGACCGAATTTTTCGGTCGGTCGACCGACGGTATTTTCGGTCGACCGATTATTTCTTCGGTCAACCGATTTGGTCAGCCGCGATTTTTTAAACGGTCGTTTCTCGCCTCGATCGTTGTGCTTTCACCTAATGGTGTTTGGCACAGTCTGAGGTCACAACCTGCAAAGTAGATTATCTTACTAAATAGGAAGATTGGGTCTTTGTTTTTATTGATTTAAACTCTTTTATAAAAACCCCCAAGCCTGCTTCTTCTTCCCTAAGCCCTAACGTTTTGAAAGAGAACCAGAGAGCTCTGTTTCTTCCTGAGAAAATTTTCAAATCAAACTTGTTCTTCTGAGTTCTTGTGTGTGTTTCACTTCCCAGCTTCAGTACTCTTCTCTTTGCTATAGGGGGCTTGTGTAAAGAGAGTGTCTTGCATTTATCTTCTGCTGCTGTGAGTGAGATCTTGTGTAGATCGACTGTGAGGGAGTGTGATCTGTGAGATCAACTGTGTAGTGAGAGAGAGATCTTGTGGGATCGTTGTGTAGACGAAGTTCCGGCTTCCAAACCGGATGTGTTAGTGGATTTCTCCTCGAGAGTGGGGAGCGGGGACGTAGGTCAGCGGGCCGAACCTCGTTAACACATCGCGCGTCAAGGATAACGATTCCTAACTTTATCTCTTTCTTTATTATTGCACTTCTGTTACTGTGGTTTGTTTGTACTGATTTTTAATTGCATATTAGAGCCTCTTGACCCTAATCACCCCCCCTCTAGGGTCCTTCATCATGCACACGTCCACTAGGGGATAACCCTAGTGTGGTAAGCGAGTCCGAATCCGAATATGATTTATCTTTTGATGAACTCGCCTGTGCTAGTGAAAAATTATTGCATGTCTATAAAAAATTACATTAAAATTTTATTGATTTACAAAGCAAGCATGAAGGTTTAAAATCCGATCATGAGAAGTTAGCTTCAAAATTTGATATCATTTCTCAAGAGAATGATGCTCTTAAAGAAAATAATGATATGCTAAATTTGGAAAATAATAATTTGAAATTGGATATTGCTAACTTGACTCATGACAAAAATAATGCCATATTAGAAGTAAAGAACATAAAAAATGATACTGCTTCTTCATAAATAGCTATTTACGTTCTACTTCTAATAAAAATGCATATGTGCCTAATAATGATGAGTTGAATCTTGTTAAAAACCGCATTTCATCTTTAGACTCAACTCTTGTTACATGCATAGATAATCATAAGAAACTTATGAACATGTGTGCTAAGTCTCATGCTACTACATCTAGATATCCCATACATCATGCACACATGTATAGCAAAATTTTGCTATGATGCACATAAACCTACAAAGACTAATATTAATGCTCCTTGTGCATCTCATAAGGCTTCTTCATCATATACACATTCACATGCTCATTCTCATAAAGTTCATCATAAGCATGCTAATGTGTATCATTGTGATCTTTGTGGTTGTTTTGGTCATTTGGCCGAATATTGTTTTGATTTGGAAGGAAAATCACGTTTGCCAAATGTTTCTAGTTGACCATGTGTGTTTAAATGTGATATTTTGTGGTAGATTTGGTCATTTAGCGAAGTTTTATTATGATTTGAAAAAATATTCAGACTTGTCAAATTTCTCAACACTAGTACAAAACAGGATAGTCCAAACGGTTATTAGAACCGTTTGGACAAATCAATATAGCCCAAACAGTTCAAACCGTTTGGGATAATAATTCCAAATGGTTTAAACCGTTTGGGATTATAGAAAAACCCATACGGAACATCCAAACGGATTTAACCGTTTGGGATATTTTATACCAAACGGATAAACCCGTTTGAGAGTTTTGAAGGATCCTACAAAATTGAAATTTCATTTCCACCCTATATTTCCCCGTTCTCCCTCTGAACCCACGATATCCCCCCCAAAATTTTCCCTAAAAACCGCCGCTCCCCCCAAATAGCCCACCAGCGCGATATTTACCCAAAATTTTGGAAGTTCGACCGCGGCCTCTCTCTTCGCCACCGCTCCTCTGCCTCCGCCTCGTCCTCCACAGCTCTCCACCTTCTCCTCCGCTCCTCTGCCTCCTCCACCACCACTCATCCGCCTCCTCCTCCACCTCTCATCCGCCTCCTCCTCCACCACTCCTCGTCTCCTCCTCCACCGCTACTCTGCCTCCTTCTCAATAGCCTCTCGATTCCACACATCCTCATCCACCGCCTCATCCTCAGGTCCGTCCATCTTCTCTGTAAATTAGTGTCATCTCATCTTTACAAAACCCTAAGCCTAATTTAATTGACCATATAACTCAAATTTTCCTATTTACAGCAAATTAATCGACTTCCCGACGTCGTCTTCTCTTCCTCAGGCATCCTCTTTCTCCAGCAGACTTATTTAAGGTAATTTCTGAGAGTTTTCTTATTTTTAGTAAATATTGAGTTTTTTCTACAATTATCTTGTATATTCTAAAATTTATGGTTATTCATGATTACGTTTACAGGAAAAGTTCTTCCTTTTCTTTTTCCTCATTGAATCTTATTTCAATTGCCAATTTTGCATGATAATGTATCAATTTTGCAGGATAATGTATCATTATATTAATGTGCATGATTTGATTGAACATTTGCTAGGTAAAAATTGTAAAACTAAGGATTACAAATACACCAAAAGCTAAACTTGTTTAACATTGAAAGACACCTATTGGTTTGATATGAAAGTTCTCGACTGTTTAGATGGTGAAGAAGAATAACAGCCCTTTAATCACCTTAAGTACAGTGACAATTTTAAGCAGTGTTGTTTATATCACTGTGGTATACATGCCCAAAGTTGGCTTGAAATTCTCATGATAGCTTGAGCATAGCTTATCTTTGCAAGGCATCTTTAGACATTTCTGAAAGCACTAAGAAAACTCGAAAAAGGTAAAGAGCATTTGTAGTGCAGCAATATATATCACTCATTGCCTGTAAAGCATGGGAAGTCACCATCACTCATTGCCTGTGCAGGAATTGCAATGGTGAATCAGTGTGCATCACTTGTCATGGATCATTGTGTGTCCAGAAGTTTTATCTATTTATACGCTATTAATGTTGATGTATACTGCATCAATAATCGACTTGCTTTTGAATGTTTGAGCATCGGAAAGTAGGCCAATATTAGAATTTAAAATCTATAAAGCCTTTTGTAGTTAGTTTGGCAGTACAAGCTAGCTTTTGTGGTGAAGAATATCAAAGAGGAATATGGTGTAGAGATGTTCCTGGGGCTTGCTATATTTTTCCGTTGGAGGCTATGGTACTGCCAAACATTTGAAGACATTAACTATAAAATTAAAGTTGGAAAGAAAATGTCAGTGCTTTGCTATAAACACGACTTGGACATCAGATTTGTAGGAGCAAAGCCATAAATTGCTTGGTTTTGATCTGTCAGCTCCTTAGGCTGGTTGTTGATAATGTGCATACAAACCATCATTTCATATGCCGAGATTGGGGTGGAACATGGTTATGGACTATTATTATGAGAAGCAGGGTTGCTGCAATATGAGCTCCAAGTACTAAAAGTGTATGATGTAAATTTATACAGAATACATGATCTGTTTAGTTTATAAAAGGGAGGCAATTAGCTGTTTCATTGTTTGAGGTAAAGAATAGTTTAGTAGTTTCCAAAGTCACAGTTCTAATAACAGGAGACTACAAAAGGAATTTGATACAAGGCATGTGCCTACGCCCTCTTAGCACCTTTGTAACATTAGTACATATATGAGTTTTGAATGACATAAAAGAAATGTGTGATTTTCTCCCCCATTTACATTGCTTAAATCCCTACTAACTACTGCAGTCACTGTCTAGCTGGTGAAACTTCTGCAAACAATTGGTTTCTACTGTAAGATTATTTTCTATTCCTATTTAGATTGATCTCTTCTATATCTGATGCTATATAAGTGCAAATACATCAATATTGTGTTCATCATATGGACATTTGATGGTTCTTATTGGATGCTGATTCAAGCAATTTCATAAATGTTTCTTACTGGATGCTGGTTCAAGCAATTTCATGCCTTGCCCATTTGCTTGTCGTCTTTCTTTCCTTGGCTTTTTGATTTTGAGACTGATGTTTATTTTTTTGGAAACAGTGGATGAAAGATTTTGAAGCATTCCAAGATGCATTGGACTCTGATTCATCATACACATCAACTTTAACAAGAAGCCTGTCACTTGTACTTGATGAGTTCTATAAAAATCTTCGCTCTGTGGGTGTTTCAGCAGTTTCTGGTGTTAGAATGGAAACGTTCTTTAATGCTATAGAAGCGAGTGCTAATGAATACATGGAAAACTACAAGTATATACCAATTCAATTTATTTTTTTTATACCATGTTAATCTTTTTCCAATTAAAATCACAAGCATATGATTGTTTATTGTATTTTTACTAGAGCTGATCTCGATAAGAGACGGGCTGAGAAGGAGAGACTGGAAGCAGAGCGTAGAAAAGAGAGCATGGATAAGTTGTGCAAGGATATGGAGAAAACTAAAGGGCAAACGGTGGTACTGAACACTGGTTTGAAGGACAAGCAGCCAACTGGTGATATGATGGATGAAGAGGAAGAAGAGATTGATGGCTTGCGGTTTTCTGAGGAGGATGAGGACAAGAAGGTGTATAGTTTAAACTAAAATCAAATGTTTAGTAGCTAATTAATTTTACCTTTGTTTGATTACAAATCTAAATATAATAATAACATGCAGGACGAGGCAATAAAATATGTAGATATTTCTTGATTACTGGAGAGTATACATACCCGGACAACAGCACTAATGAGTATTGCGTAAGTCTTCTCTGGTTGAAAATATGTTTACTACACATGAATTTCTTGATTTGGATGGAGCTGCCATTTTTTACATTTTCGGTCCGTCGATTGAAAGCATTTGTGTGCTAACAAAAGTTGAATTGAGGATGAAATAAGAAAAACTTCATGCTTAGGTGAAATTGTCCTCTTTTTCGTTATGAACATACCAAGGAGTCCATTGCTGTCGCTGACTGCATTTCGCACTTGTCTTCTACTTTTTTTTTGTACTCTTGTTTAGTAGAGACCGATTTTCTAATTTCAAATAGTTTAGGATCTTTCAATGCCTACTGTTAGCCAAAGTGAATAGGGGTGTCCTTGGCAATCCCCTGAATTTGGATCTGTGACATTTCTTGGCTCAGTTTTTGTTAGGCCCTTGCATATCGATAGCTACGTACCGTAATGGGCATGGCTACATATAGAAATAATGTTTTAACTTAAGTCTTCATCCTTCAGTAAAACCAATAAGAAGCTCTTTAATTAGAACTCAAGTTCCCAACTGTCATGGCCAACTCTTGAAAACAAGTAAAACCAATAAGAAGCTCTTTAATTAGAACTCAAGTTCCCAACTGTCATGGCCAACTCTTGAAAACAACTCCACAGACTCCTTCCAATGAGCATTAGAACTCAAGTTCCCAACTGTCATGGCCAACTCTTGAAAACAACTCCACAGACTCCTTCCAATGAGCCAGAACCAAAATAAAAAAGACACGTGAACAAGTCCAGAAACGAAGCTAGATGATAAAACAACATCCAACACCCTGCAGCTTCTCTTCACCTCATACTTTTAATCCCATAGCAAAGAAAAACAATATGCAAAAATACTGATCACCTGCAACTTTGATTGTTCTAGTTTATTTCTGTATCATGCCTTTAGTCAATCATCTACACTTCAACTGCTTTAATCCATATCGAGGATTGAATTGCTTTTATGCTATAATCAGACTTCTATTTTATTTTAATTTTTTTCTTAAATATATCTACTTTTGCATTGTCGACTTACAGTTGACTGCTTTATATTGTGTAGAATTGAGTCATCCAGGAGGCAACCTTATCAGGGTCGATTCAGCCACATAGGACAACGCACTTTGTTTCACTCAGATGTTAGATTCTCTGCACGGAGGGCATCACCGTGGTTATGAAAGAGCCATAGGCATTGGTGCCACTCGGACTTACTTGAGGGCGTCCTCCATATCGGAAATCGGCACTTCTAATCAGGAGCTACGTCGCGAGGTGGCTGATCTTAGAGACAAATATATAATATTGGATGCTTTTCATTGTGAGATATTGAGTAATCATTGTGCATGTATCTCTAATATTACATTTTGAGTAATTATTGTGTATTATATATAATATTAAATATTTAGCACCGTTTGAGATATTTTTGTGTATGTATATGTTTTTTATTTCATTGTGAGATATTGAGTAATCATTGTGTAAAATGTGTATATTAAATGTAAGCAGGTAAATAAATAAAATACTGAAATGAAAAATAATTAAAATTAATAGGCCAAACGGTTGTAACCATTTGGCTAGATACTTGGCCAAACGGGTGAAATCGTTTGGGACAACAGTATATGCCAAACGGTTGAAACCGTTTGGCCAAAAACTTGTCCAAACGGTTGAAACCGTTTGGCCTAACTGTAGGCCAAACGGTTCCAACCGTTTGGCCACAGTATATGCCAAACGGTTGAAACCGTTTGGCATATACTGTTGTCCCAAACGGTTTCACCCGTTTGGGATAACGTCCAAACGGTTGTAACTGTTTGGTCCGTTGCCCAAACGGTTACAACCATTTGGGTGACCGTTGGGGAAAACTCATCCCCAACGGCTTTAGCCCAAATGGGTTTTTTCTCTCTCCCAAACAGGTTGAACCGTTTGGGAGGGGGTTTTCCCAAACGGTTCCAACCGTTTGGGCTGACATGTTTTGTACTAGTGCAACTAAACCACCTTTGTTTGATAATGTTTCTCATTAGCAAAATAAATTTAAAAGACAATCTTTGTTTGCAAATGGTTCCCGTGCACGAGCATATGGTCCATAAAAACAAACGAGTCTCTTTCATTGCACAAATTGCAATCGGAAGGGTCATTTGAGCAATTATTGTTATGACCGGGTTAGTGCACCAAATATGCCCAAAAGGGTTCTAAACCCTAGGGCTTTGAGCTTTATTGATAGGGGTCATATCCCTAAACAATCTGACACCAAGAATGCTTGGGTGCCAAAATCCTTTTAAACCAAGATTTTTAATTTTTTTATTTTTTTATTTTCTTGGTTTTGAAAATTATACTTTAAATTTTTGAACATGAAAACAATTTTTTTGATCAATTTTTTTGTTTTCATGATTATTAGTTTCTATTTTGATGAGAGGTTTGTGTTTATATAACCCCCCGGGTTTATTGGGTGTTTATTCACAAATTATGTTTACCGCATGATAGAATGATTATATGGGTTGGAACAAGCTTAAGAGCTTGATATATTGTTACCTCTCTTGAAATTCTTTTGTCAAAAATTTTGTTTTGATTTGTTGCATTGAATTCATTATATTTTACTTATATGATAATATTTATATGTTTGTGCTCATGGATTATCTATTCGTGCCTTATAATGTATTCTATGAGTGGTTCGATCAAGTTATACAAAGAAAATTTTCTTTTTGATCAACCATTGTTTTTGGACTCAAATCTTGATTTATTATTTCATTTGAGTGATTTGTTTTTATTTGAAACCTTTTTCATGGTTCTTATGTTTTCCTCATTCCTTTGTTTTCATAAATTTATTCATACATTGTTTTTATGTTTGAGTAATGAGACACTTCTTTCATAAATAACATATTAATATCTGTTCTCGTTGTCTTGTTTGTATGTGAGTTATGTTTAGCATATCTTTCATTTATGCTTACTCACATGTTTTTGCATTAGCTTTCATTTCATATATTTTATATGGCATTTTGATAGGGAGAGCTATTCCCTATACTTGTTTTATACTCACTCATGTATTTTGATAGGGGGAGCATTCACTCTCTTCATTCTTGTTGTTTTTTCCTTTTTGATGTTGTCAAAGGGGGAGAAATATTATGAGTATACATTTCCTTGTTTATATATATGTGAATTATAATTTATATATTCATTTTCATTCATGCATATATCTTTTTTGTAAATTGTTTGTCATCATCAAAAAGGGAAAGATTGTTGGCCTTCTTGTTTTGATGATGATTTAACAAACAGTTTATATCTAATATTGTTTGTTTAGTGTTTGTGTTTTGTTATTTATTGTAGACAAATAATAAGTTGGAGGATGGATGGATTGCTATAATGATCATATCAAATGGAGGTTGGCGGAATTGTGGAGTGAAGCCTTACAATTCAAGTTGAAGATCCAAGTTCAAGCTTCTTCCGCATAGTGTACTAAGTCAAGCTTATTGAAGATCAAGATTGCTTGGGTAACATTTAGTTTAGGAGTTTATATTATGTGTGTTAGTACTTTAAGCTCAATATCATATACACACATTTTATTGTTTTCTATGTATATATATATATAGTTATATATATATATATGCACATCTTGGCTTTTGGTTTATCCACAAACAAAGTTTTTATAAGCATATAACTAAATATTTATATTCATACATATTTGTTTTTATGTGCATAAGTTGGTTTGATCTAAATAGATATAAAACAAATATATATTCATATACATACTCATATGTTTCATATTCTATTGTATTTGATAAAATATTATATTTATTGTTTATAGACTTCATAACAATAGTTTACATCTTTCTTTAAGTCTATAAAATTATTTTGTAGAGTTTCAAAAGTTTGTTTAAGTCAAATGTCAAAAACATGTATGTTTAGTTTTATGTTTTTGGACTATTTTGAAAAATAATGATATTTTACATTTGGGAAGTCCTTTTTGAAAACCAGTTTTTGTAACATGTTTATTATCATGCTTAAAATCATTTTTCAAAGTTTTATATTTTTTGGAATTTATTTGATATTTTAAAAGCCAGTTTAAAGTTGAGTTTTTCTGGGCATTTCAGATTTGTGCATGTTTAGTCGACTTATTAGTCGACTCATGAGTCGACTCATAAGTCGACTCACGAAGTGCAGAGCAGTTATGATTTTTTTTCTGCTGAGTCGAATCATATAAGTCGACTCATAAGTCGACTCGTATAAGTCGACTCATAAGTCGACTTATGAAAGAGCCGTTGCACAGTAACGGCTAGTTTTTAGCAGTATTTTCTGAGGGCTTTTTTGTTTTTTCATATGGGTTTTGGCTGATGTCTTGGGTTGTTATAAATACTCCATTGCCTTCAGCTCTTCTACAATCTAAGAGAATGTTTTAACAAAGTTTTAACAAGGGTTTAAGGTTTGCTTAATGTTTGTTTAGAAGCTTTTAAGCAATTGAGGGTTTGAGTTTGTGAATTCAATTCCACAAGAGCTTAAGGAGATCATCTATTGGAGTTTGAGCAATCAACTATTCTCCCTCCATCTCTTATCATCTATTGAGAAGTTTTCTAAACTCTTTTCTAGCTTTATATTTATTTGTTTGATTATCTCTTATTAAAGCTAGTTTTATATTGAGTTTAGATTTGATTAATCTCATTGTTACAAACACCCACTTGAGCTGATTGTATTTATTATTATATCATACAAAATCTACATACACAAGCTACATACACAAGCTTATTGTGTATGTAGCTTTATATTTATATTGTATTTATTTGTTTGATTATCATCTTATTGTATTTATTGATTAATCTCATTTGTTTGATATACTTGAGGTTGTAGCTTGTGTATGTACTTTGTGAGGATTTGTAAGAGTTATCGGTTGACTTGATAACCGAGTGTGTAGAGTTTTCGGTTAGCTAGAAAACCAAGTGTGTAGAGAAGTTCCGGCTTCCAAACCGGGTTGTGATAGTGGAGATCTCCTCGAGGTGAGGAGTGGGGACATAGGTCGTGGGGACCGAACCTCGTGAACATATCGTTTGTTTGTGATTACATTGGCGCACTTTCTTTTGTGTTTATTATTATATCGCCTTTGTCAATTGCTCATTGTTTATATTGCCCACTATCTTATTTGTCTTGTTTATAGATTGTTTACCCTTTTGTTATTTATATATCCTTGCATATATTTTACCATATATCTCATTGCTAGGATATATCCCTTTGTTCATTTTGCATATTCTTGCTCATATCATATTGTATATCTATCTTACAAGAATAATTCTTGAATAAGTTTTAATTAGCATTTAAATAGGATTAGATTAGCATAAACCCTATTCACCCCCCCCCCCCCCTTCCCCCCCCCCCCCCCTCTAGGGTTCTTTCATAGCGACCTTGGGTCTAACAAAGGGTACGTGGCTAACGAATGCTTTGTGTTTGCATCACGTTATATGCGTAAGAAGAAAACCACATCTCTAGCACCTTATAAGGAGAGGAAGTGTGAAAAATATCCGAGATCTCTCTTAGATCAAATTCATGCATATGTGTTGGAAAACCTTGATATGTTCATAGACTATCGAAGGTAATAAATAAAATTAGTAATATAGATGAGAAATATTAATTTTACATATAGTTTACCAATAAAAACTTATATATTGTTTATATAGGCCACATCTGGAGAAGCTTAAGAATGAAACAACCGGTAGGAATGCAGCACATAATATTCAGAAAAGAAATAAGAAAGTATTGTCTGATTAGTTAAGAATTGATGTAAGTGTTTTACAATTAATTAGTGAACATTTAAAATATAACATCACCTAAATATTCTCAAATTGTTTGGCTTAGGTTGAAAAATCACTTCTTGATGGTACTGCGTTACCAGATGAATTATTATCCATGCACAACACCCTTATCATGAAGTGAGATATTATAATAAGCATTTGGTCAATGAATATAAATTTCAAACACTAGAGACCGATGATAGGAGGGTAACTCAGAACAGTAGGGTCATGGACTTGTTTGCTCAAGAATTTTTTTCAAGTATAAGATATCAGAACCTAATTCTAGCTGACATACTATATTATGGCCAATTAGAAGATATTGTTAAGGTAATTTACAGGTTTGGTAAACCAAAACAATGTACTTACACGATGTTTAAGGTTCGGTAGTGTCCTACAAAAAAGCAAAAGGATCATTATGGATTTACACTAGTCAATCTCCATCGAGAAGTATATACGGATGAGAAATTTATTTTCACAGAACAAGCTGATCAGTGCTTCTTCGTGAAAGATCCGAATCTTATGTCTGATTGGGTGGTTTTGTACAAGCCAAGATCTGTTGTTCTTCCTAATAAAAACAATAATGCATTTAATAATACAATTACCAAGATTTGTACTTAATTGTTGAGAGTTCACTTTATAA